ATTCGAAGGGTGTTTAAGGGCTGTGTCTTGGGAGTTCCACCAGTCTTTATCTGTCCAGGAAGTCTGGTCTTTTTTATGATTTTGAATTTTGTTCTACATTTTTTGCCCACTCTGTCCAGCACCTTCTGTTGTGATCCCAGTCAGAGTGGTCAGTAGTGGTCGCCAGACACCAACTGGTTCTTCTGGTCTCAGGCTAGTGGAGGCTGTGGTTCTTATGGCCCGTTAGTCCTTTGGACTCATTTGTTTCCATAACTCTTTGATTTTCTTCACTCTTCTTTGCTCCAGACAAGGAGATACCAATAGTTACACCTTCGATGGCCGCTCACAAGCTTTTAAGGCCCCAGTTGCTATTCTCCAAAGTAGAACGACTCTTTGTGGACTATGTTAAGCCGATTGAACTTGATGTAGCCTGAGACTATGGTCCAAAGCCTCAAGCCCAGTGACTCAGTCCCTCGAGGGGTTGGGTTGTGGCTTAGAAGTTTTTATACCTTTGTCCCCAGTGTTATTGTTGTCATGTGCCACATCTAGTTGGCTCTGACTCTAGTGACCCTGTGTACAACAGAACGAAACACTGCCTCACAATCCTTGCTATGTGTGAGCCCATCATCACACTCATGGTGTGGATCCATCTTGTTGAGGGTCTTCCCCTTTATTGCAGACCCTCTACTTTACCAAGCATGATATTCTTCACCAGGGACTGGTTCCTCCTGATAACATAACCAAGGTGCAAGAGACAAAGGCTGGCCATTCTCACTTCTAAGGAGCATTCCAGCTGTATCTCTTCCAGGACAGATTTGTTCATTCTTATGGCAGTCCATGTTGTTGTTGTTGCTAGGTGCTGTCGAGTCGTTTCCAACTCATTGCAACCCTGTGCACAGCAGAACGAAACATTGCCTTCTCCCGCGCCAGCTCCACGATCCTTGCTGTACTTCAGCCCACCGCCGCAGCCACTGTGTCGATCCATCTCATTGAGGGCCTCCCCCTCCTTCATTGACCGTCCAACTTACCAAGCATGACATCTTTCTCCAGGGAATGGACCCTTCTGACAACATGACCAAAGTAGATGAGACGAAGTCTGGTCATTCTCACCTCCAAGGAGCATTCCGGCTGCACTTGGACAGATTTGTTAGATCTTTTAACAGTCCATGGTATTCTCAGCATTCTTTGCCAGCACAACTCAAAAGCATCAACTTTTCTATGGTCTTCCTTATTCATTGTCCACCTCTCACATGCATATGAAAACAAAACAAAAAAAAAAAACTCACTGCCAACGAGTCATATCCAACTCATAGTGACCTCTCCTTGAGTTTCCAAAGCAGGATCACTACAGAAGTAGATTACCCAATCTTCGACTGAAAATTGTTGTTGTTGTTGTTAGGCGCCGTCAAGTTGTTTCCGACTCATAGCGACCCCATGCACAGCAGAATGAAACACTGCCCAATCCCGTGCCAGCTCCACGATCCCTGCTATACCTGAACCCATCATCGCAGCCACTGTGTCAATCCATCTCATTGAAGGCCTCCCCCTCTTTCGTCGACCCTCCACCCTACCAAGCATGACATCCTTCTCCAAGGAATGGTCCCTTCAACAACATG